AAATAAGCAGTATAATACTGCTTATGAGGACATAATTCCAGCCAAGGAGCCAGTTCAGAGAAGAACGATTCCCTTGCTCATCGTTACAGTTGCTACTGTTCACTCTGTTTACTTTCAAATGAGGTTGCTTTCATCAATTTGCCTGTTAAACATAATTCACTCTATCGCTGTGTTCTTATAAAGCCAATGCAAGTTTTTGTTTGCTATTACCATGTCAACAAAATTACGTTTTTGTAGGAATGGGAATATTCAACTGAAAAAAACAATGCATTCTTTTTCTGCTCCCGTTCCACTTCTGGGGTGTATTCACTAACCAAATGGAACATTTGACCAATCCACTACATTTGTTGCTACGGTGCGAAACGTTTTGCTACGGTATGCAACTAATAGATACACCCCATTTAATGTGCACAATTTAATGGCTTGTTCCTCATTGATGCCACAGGGGGGAGACAGACACAGCCTTCACATCATGTGTTCACATGACACAGCCTTCACATCATGACCGCAGACTATTTATTTATTTTTGTAACCTTTATTTAACTAGGCAAGTCAGTTCAGAACTAATTCTTATTTACAGTTACAGCCTACCCCGGCCAAAACCGGACGACGCTGGGCAAATTGTGTGCCGCCCTATGGGACTCCCAATCACGGCCGGATTGTGATACAGCCTGTGACGCCTCCAGCACTGAGATGCAGTGCCTTAGACCGCTGCGCCACTCGGGAGCCCCATGACCACAACAATAAAATACTCCATCTACAACTGTCTGGGTATAGTTGTAAAATAAAATATTAGTAAATGGGATGACATTATCATTTACAATTGTGGGACCAAGCAATAGTTGATAAAATATTAAAATAAAACTTTGACTGCAGAGTGTTTGAAATGTGGATTTAAGAAAATCCCAGAGAGCACTGCTCTAAAAACAATTATCACATACTTTCTCACATAATTGATTTATATGAATAAATTGATAACCTAGATTTAGTTATAAGCATAAGCAATAAATAAAGCTTCATAATAAAGTTGTCCTCTGACCGTGTGTCTTGAGTTAAAATAAATAATATACGGTAGTGCTATAAAATGTCCTGTGTGAAAATGGAGTCTATCCCTGTTCATTGTATCTAAAGTAGAGAAAATAGCACAACTACATGTCTAAAAACCTGAACATTAATCTTGTGGAAATTAAATGGTCACATGCCTAACTAAACCTATACCATAACACTTTTGCACAACATTTAGAAATACAAATCTGAGTGATTATTGTAATTATAAACTGTTACTGGTCCCTAATGACAGTCTTGGACTCAAATTCATATTTTAAAACCATTTGATCTCTCTCTCAAGTTACATTTTATTTGGAATAGTCATAGAGTATGCCATTCAGCATGAATTAAATGTGGAAAAATGCCCAAATTATGAATGTAAACAAATTAAACAATGTGAATTCTCCCACTGCTGGTGTTCTACTGAATTACATGTATATATTGGCTCTACACCCGTTCCTCCACCTGTTACATTGAACTGAATCAGCAAACCAGCCAGTCAGCCAGCCAGCCAGTCAGCCAGCCAGCCACTCAACCAGTCAGGCAGCCAGACAGTTAGTCAGTCAGTCAGTCACCCAGTCAACCAGCCAGTCAGGCAGTCAGCCAGTCAGTCAGTCAGTCAGCCAACCAGCCAGTCAGTCACCCAGTCAGCCAACCAGTCAGCCAGTCAGCCATCCAGTCAACCAGTCAGTCAGCCAGTCAGTCTCCCAGTCAGTCAGCCAGTCAGTCAGCCAGGACTTCACTGTCTCCATGAGACACAGGTCATTCCCCCTGACTGGCTTCATGACACCCTGTGATGTTGACCAGGAAGTCACACCTAGTTGTGAAGTGTGACCTAACACTTTCAAGTCTGGTTGAGGAACCCAGCATAGCACAGTCCTCCTTCTCACACAGCTCAGGTGAACACAGCACTAGCCCACACAGAACACAGGGCTCCCAGATGGCTACTTAGGTGAAAAAGAGCAGGGAGAGAGAAGGGAACAGTAGACTGCTGCTGTGAGACACAGGGGAGCTCAAAGTCTCTGTAGCACTATACTATATATAATATATTATAATATACTACACTATAATATAATATAATATAATATAATATACTATACTATACTATAATGTACTATAATATACGACATTATACTATAATATACTATAATATATAATGCTACACAAAATATACTATAATATACTACACTACACTATAATATACTACACTACACTATAATATACTATAATATACTACATTATACTATAATATACTACACTATACTATAATATACAACACTACTATAATATACTATAATATACTACTTTATACTATAATATACTATCCTATCCTATAATATACTATACTACAATATACTATAATATACTATACTACAATATACTTCTCTATACTATAATATACTATAATATACTACATTATACTATAATATACTACACTATACTATAATATACAACACTACTATAATATACTATAATATACTACTTTATACTATAATATACTATCCTATACTATAATATACTATACTATAATATACTACACTACTATAATATACTACATTATACTATAATATACTACACTATACTATACTATACTACTATAACATACTATAATATACTACATTATACTATAATATACTACATTATACTATAATATACTACATTATACTATAATATACTATCCTATACTGTAATATACTACACTGTACTATAATATAATATAATATAATATACTATAATATAATATAGTACACTATACTATACTCTGCCCCACCAATGCTTTATCAGAGTGCTCCCACTGTTCATATACTGATTATTGTCAGATTATTATTAGAACATTAACTGGTCCAAACTGGTGAAACTGTTTCGAATTACTAGTGCTGGATGTTAAACTGCCATAAAGTGTGATATAAATAGCCTACATTATATTATATTGAATTACATAAAAGGTAGGTAGGCCTACTTCTTTTGATACTGACAGAATGCTAAAAACTGTCACCTGAACTGAAATACATTGAATTAATTAATTATTACTATATTGTTATCATTCTAATTATTTGATGATATAATTATTCTGGTTTGTAATGTTTATACCCTTTGAAGCTGTTTTTATAAAAATCTGTTTTACAGTAGGATAGAAATTAAAGTGACATATGAAATAATACTTGGAATCTCCTTCATCAATCATAAATTATGTTTTTTAATAAATAGCTAATTTATAAATAGCTATAGTTAATTACATGTTTTGAGTAATTTAGCTAAAAACTTTCTTACTTAAATACATTTAGTATTATATTTTGTAATAGCAGACAACTCAATGAAACGGACTATACAAACTTAATTCTAGATCTAAATAAACAATCGAAAATGTAAAGAAAACTTGAAATATTATGTTCTATTTCGTTAGTAATTATTTTAACAACTTGAACAGTAAGGTCTGAATCAGTTACAATGACCTGCATGGACCATTTAATGTTCTCTTTAATTATTCAAAGTTTAGGCTACAAAATCAACTGTATGATTTGATCGTGTGATTTGGCTATGAAGTCTTATTTCTTTTAAAATTCAATGTATTTCAATGGTATCGAAATTAGACACAACGTCAAATCAAATGTTTATTGGTCACATTCCCGTGTTTAGCAGATGTTATTGCGGGTGTACCGAAATGCTTGTGTTTCTAGCTCCAACAGTGCAGTAATGTCTAACAAGTAATATCCAACAAATTCACAACAATACACACTATTCTATAGTAAAGGAATGGAATTAAGAATATATACATATTTTGATGAGCAATGTCAGAGCGGCATAGACTAAGATACAGTAGAATAGTATAGAATACAGTATATACATATGAGATGAGTAATGCAAAATATGTCAACATTATTAAAGTGACTACTGTTCCATTATTAGTCTATGTTAATTGTGTGACCCTCATGAAACCTTGCTAAAACCTGCATGTTTCTTCACCCGACTGGTTCAATTCTATTTCTAAAGCACAAGAGAAGGATGGGTGACTAACAGCAGAGAGACATAAACTGAGGGCATCGAGAGGGCAATGAGTTGTATTAAAATTCGAAATATTCCACGGGCCACTTCCTCCTGGTTTAGAACCCCCAGCCAACACCCTCGCAGATTGGGGCTTTACAGGGAATGTTGTGAAAAGGTAGGCATGATACTAGACGGACATATCACCTCAGAGATCTGTTTGAAATTCCCCTCAATACAGCCGTGGAGCCGCGCTGTCTGTTTCAGCCCAGCACAGAAAGAAAAGGCCTAGATTTCTTTACCCCAAAGAAGCAGGCCTATTCCATTTTTATATAATCATACAAATAAGTTTAAATTTAAGGTCACTTGAAATATTTTAAGCTCCAGTGGGAGAGTAAAATATAGGCCAACTCATGAAATAAAGATAAATATATAGGCCTAATATTACAAAGATTATATCACACAAAACAATTATAGGCATGAGCAATTTTGAAGAGCACAATACATAATGTATCTAAGGAAATATAGTTATTTTTAAGAGGGTAGTATAACATTTAATATGGATTTATTAGGGCACATGTATATGCACAACATGCTTTTATGCTATCTGTTCATTTGAAAAAGGCCATGGCCACTCCAGGGCTCTCTACCACGTTCCTCGACCCTTCCCCATTTTATTCCACAAGGCATATATGGGCGTTATGCGGACACTGCAGTAGCAGGTTCTCCCGTTGAGAAAATCAACATGAACTCATGTTAGTTTCTCCTGTGCGATTTGTAGCATTCTTCTAGACGCCCGGGACGGCTTTGATGCTGGTGCTCGGCTGCCTTTGAAATGCAGGGCCTTCTCTAATGCAAATTCACCCTGATGGGATAAGGCGAGGGAGGGAGATGAGGGCTATAAAATGTTGACGTCAGCACAACAACTCTTAACTGGCAGCGTGTCTAGCAAACAAGAAGTTAAAGAGTATAAGTGGACCAGCCAGGTGGAGGAGGTCTTTGGTTAAACAGAAACCCGGGGTAGAGGAGGCAGGAGCAACGCGCTGGACGCACACTATGCGCATGAGTTTCCATTCGGAAAGATGTACGTGAGTTATCTTTTGGAGAAAGACACCAGCATGTACCCAAATTCAGTGCGACATCCCAGCCTAAACTTGAACCATCAGAACTTTGTTCCCGCACCTCCGCAGTATTCGGATTTCAGCGGATACCACCAAATTCCTGGGATTAACAATGACCCTCACCACAGCCAGACCGGGGCCTGGAACCCCGCTTACGCACCGCCGACCCGGGAAGACTGGTCACCCTATGGGCCAGGGACAGGACCGTCCACATCTAATCCGGGACCAATTGGCTATAGCCACCCAGAGTTCGCTCCAGTCCCACAACCCGGGCTTCTCCCGTTGTCTGTCAACTCATCTGTAGGTCAGCTTTCTCCCATTTCTCAGCGCAGAAACCCGTATGATTGGATGAGGCGGAGCGCACCACCGGCAAATTCAGGTAGGTTACCTGAGGAGGTGTTTCATAAATGTTTTGTAATCAAGGAATGTATCATTTTGTTGTCCATAAGACCATAGAAAATAAAGACTAAATCATACAAAATAAATTTAATTTAATTTACATGTAGCAAAGCAGACACTTATAAGAAATATAATGGGTCAAATTCAGTGTCTTTGGTCCATTTTCTTTCTGAAACCACAGATACTGAAATACTGTACGCACCGTAGTGAGAAGAAAAAGCTCAACCAGAACAACTGGGCTTGCAAATGCGTGCACCTGTTCACTGAATTCAGAGACGAATTCATGTTTCAACTCAGAAAGATGGAATACCAGGTTACCTGGCCGTCGCTTGGATGTTCATAGCTGATTCATTCGTTAGTATTTGTTCAATCCCATCAAAGTATTTGACGTTGCATATTGTCATGTGATATCATTACTGACATACACTTTATCTTGCGCGGTCATCAGCATATTTGGTCCTCTCGTGCTCACTGTTCTTTTGTGAAGTCATGAATCACACCTCGCATGCCGTCATAAATTAGTGGTATTATCTCGTGAGTTTTATGGTTATAATATTGCCTATGTAATGTATTTACAAGTTGATGGTAAACCAGGGTATGTACTTTAATTGCATTGCAATACGTGCTAAATGATTATCCTTAAGATTATAATTGCCTATCATCATGCAGTAAAAAGGAGTAGGTTAGTATAGCCTATAACATGCATAATATAGTCTAGGCTATATCAATTACTTTATTACCATATTCATGATCATCGTCGAATTAATCTTTGATTTTGTCTGGTGTAGCCTATAGGCTTCACAATTATGTTATGCTCCTCCTATTATGTGAGCAATCCCTCGTTTTCCCTACGACAGATTTCATAATGTTACAAGATTTTTTCATAATATCATTAAGAATTCTCTAGTCTGCTGAGACGGCTTAACCTGGAAGTGATCAGATGAAAGAAACCGTCTGGGGTTTGAAGATCTTGTAATGCAAATTATGCGGTTGGTTGTCTTCTTGTATGTCGTAGGGCTCTAGAATTGTTTGCTATGTTGTAATTCTTTGTTAGCCATTATGTCTCTAGGCAGGAGTTCTTGTTGTCAATTACTTTGATGTCGCTCGCTTGGTTCACGCTTGTCCTCCACCAGACCTTATGCGTCATAATGGCCTGCTGATATAATACGTCAGGCATTGACATCATATCACATAACATTAAAAAAATATATACATATTTTACTGAATTGAGTTGAATGGGCATGGAAGCACATTGGTGTACTGTTCCTACAGATTTATTAACTCACTTACTGTATATGCCTGTATTTGAGTTCGATCCTCTATGGCCCTCAAACTCAACTCTGGACCACTTTTTATTTTATCTATTTATTTTTATTTGTTTATTTCACCTTTATTTAACCAGGTAAGCCAGTTGAGAACAAGTTCTCTTTTACAACTGCGACCTGGCCAAGATAAAGCAAAGCAGTGCGATAAAAACAACAAACACAGAGTTACATATGGAATAAACAAAACATACAGTCAATAACACAATAGAAAATCTATATACAGTGTGTGCAAATGTAGTAAGTTATGGAGGTAAGGCAATAAATAGGCCATATTGCAAAATAATTACAATTTAGTATTAACACTGGAGTGATAGATGTGCAGAAGATGATGTGCAAATAGAGATACTGGGGTGCAAATGAGCAAAATAAATAACAATGTAAATAACAATATGGGGATGAGGTAGTTGGGTGGGCTAATTACAGATGGGCTGTGTACAGGTGCAGTGATCGGTAAGCTGCTCTGACAAGTGATGCTTAAAGATAGTGAGGGAGATAAGTGTCTACAGCTTCAGATATTTTTGCAGTTCGTTCCAGTCATATGCAGCAGAGAACTGGAAGGAATGGCGGCCAAAGGAGGTGTTGGCTTTGGGGATGACCAGTGAGATATACCTGTTGGAGCGCATACTATGGGTGGGTGTTGCTATGGTGACCAATGAGCTAAGATAAGGCGGGGATTTGCCTAGAAGAGATTTATTGATGACCTGGAGCCAGTGGGTTTGGCGACGAATATGTAGTGAGGGCCAGCCAACGAGAGCGTACAGGTCACAATGGTGGGTAGTATATGGGGCTTTGGTGACAAAACGGATGGCACTGTGATAGACTACATCCAATTTGCTGAGTAGAGTGTTGGAAGCTATTTTGTAAATGACATCACCGAAGTCAAGGATCGGTAGGATAGTCAGTTTACCGAGGGCATGTTTAGCAGCATGAGTGAAGGAGGCTTTGTTGCGAAATAGGAAGCCGATTCTAGATTTCACTTTGGATTGGAGATGCTTAATGTGAGTCTGGAAGGAGAGTTTACGGTCTAACCAGACACCTAGGTATTTGTAGTTGTCCACATATTCAGACCCGCCGAGAGTAGTGATTCTAGTCGGGCGGGCGGGTGCAAGCAGCATTCGATTGAAGAGCATGCATTTAGTTTTATTAGCGTTTCAGAGCAGTTGGAGGCAACGGAAGTAGTGTTGTACGGCATTGAAGCTCGTTTGGAGGTTTGTTAACACAGTGTCCAACGAAGGGCCAGATGTATACAAAATGGTGTCGTCTGCATAGAGCTGGATCTGAGAGTCACCAGCAGCAAGAGCGACATCATTGATATACACAGAGAATAGAGTCGGCCCGAGAATTGAACCCTGTGGCATCCCCATTGAGACTGCCAGAGGTCCAGACAACAGACCCTCCGATTTGAGAAGTAGTTGGTGAACCAGGCAAGGCAGTCATTTGAGAAACCAAGGCTATTTAGTCCGCCAATAAGAATGCAGTGATGGACAGAGTCAAAAGCCTTGGCCAGGTCGATAAAGACGGCTGCACAGTACTGTCTTTTATCGATCGCAGTTATTATATCGTTTAGGACCTTGAGCGTGGCTGGGGTGCACCCATGACCAGCTCGAAAAACCAGATTGCATAGCGGAGAAGGTACAGCGGGATTCTAAATGGTTGGTGATTTGTTTATTAACTTGGCTTTCAAATACTTTCAAATAAGGCAGGGCAGGACGGATATAGGTCTGTAACAGTTTAGATTTAGAGTGTCACCCCCTTTGAAGAGGGGGATGACCGCGGCAGCTTTCCAATCTCTGGGGATCTCAGACGATACGATAGAGAGGTTGAACAGGCTAGCAATAGGGGTTGCGACAATTTCTGCGGCTAATTTTAGAAAGAAAGGGTCCAGATTGTCTAGCCCAGCTGATCTCTAGGGGTCCAGATTTTGGGCAAGTTGCAGCGGAGGGTGCAGAGCTGGTGGCCGGGGTAGGGGTAGCCAGGTGGAAAGCATGGCCAGCCGTAGCAAAATGCTTATTGAAATTCTTGATTATCGTAGATTTATCGGTGGTGACAGTGTTTCCTAGCCTCAGTGCAGTGGGTAGCTGGGAGGAGGTGCTCTTATTCTCCATGGACTTTACAGTGTCCAAAAACGTTCTGTTTGAAAAAGCTAGCCTTTGCTTTCCTAACTGATTATGTATATTGGTTCCTGACTTCCCTGAAAAGTTGCATATCACGGGGGCTGTTCAATGCTAATGCAGTACGCCACAGGATGTTTTTGTGCTGGTCAAGGGCAGTCAAGTCTGGGGTGAACCAGGGGCTATATCTGTTCTTAGTTCTGCATTTTTTGAATGGGGCATGCTTATTTAAGATGGAGAGGAAAGCACTTTTGAAGAACATCCAGGCATCCTCTACTGACGGAATGAGGTCAATATCCATCCAGGATACCCGGGCCAGGTCAATTAGAAAGGCCTGCTCGCTGAAGTGTTTTAGGGAGCGTTTGACAGTGATGAGGGGTGGTTGTTTGACCGCGGACCCATTACGGACGCAGGCAATGAGGCAGTGATTGCTGAGATCCTGGTTGAAGACAGCGGAGGTGTATTTAGAGGGTAAATTAGTCAGGATGATATCTATGAGGGTGCCCATGTTTACGGATTTAGGGTTGTACCTGGTAGGTTCCTTGATAATTTGTGTGAGATTGAGGGCATCTAGTTTAGATAGTAGGATGGCCGGGGTGTTAAGCATATCCTAGTTTAGGTCCCCAAGCAGTACGAACTCTGAGGATAGATGGGGGGCAAGCAATTCACATATGGTGTCAAGGGCACAACTGGGGGCTGAGGGGGGTCTGTAGCAAGCGGCAACAGTGAGAGACTTATTTCTGGAAAGGTGTATTTTTTAAAGTAGAAGCTCAAACTGTTTGGGCACAGACCTGGATAGTATGATAGAGCTCTGCAGGCTATCTCTACAGTAGATTGCAACTCCGCCCCCTTTGGCAGTTCTATCTAGACGGAAAATGTTGTAATTCGGGATGGAAATATCTGAATTTTTGGTGGCCTTCCTAAGCCAGGATTCAGACACTGCTAGAACATCAGGGTTGGCAGAGTGTGCTAACACAGTGAATAACTCAAACTTGGGGAGGCGGCTTCTGATGTTGACATGCAAGAATCCAAGGCTTTTACGGTTACAGAAGTCAACAAATGATAGCGCCTGGGGAGTAGGAGTGATACTGGGGGCTACAGGGCCTGGGTTAACCTCTACATCACCAGAGGAACAGAGGAGGAATAGAATAAGGATACGGCTAAAGGCTTTAAGAACTGGTCCTCTAGGACGTTGTAGAATAGATTCAGGGCATTATGTACAGACAATGATATGGAAGGATATGAGTACAGTGGAGGTACACCTAAGCATTGGGTAACGCTGAAAGAGGTAGCATCCCTGGAGGTATCGATTGAGCCGGTCTCCGCGTGTATGGGGGGTGGGACAAAGGAGCTCTCTGAGGCTGGTTGAGCGGGACTGGAGGTTCTACAGTGAAATAGTACAATAAGAACTAACCCAAACAGCAATAGGCTGGGCATATTGACATGGGAGAGAGGCATAAAGCAATCACAGGTGTTATTCGAGGGCTAAGACAACAACTGGCAATGGCGACAAAAGTTTGGGCTGAGGCTAAACAGATAAACAGGATAGGGTACCGTGTAAAGGAACAGTCCAGCAGGCATCAGCTGTGTAGCTGAGTGATCATAAGGTCCAGTGAAAAGCAATAGCTAAGTCCGGGAGCAGTTTGTAGGCTGCTACAGCACAGGCGAGCAGGTGGCATGGCTGTTGATTGCGCATGCTAGCGGGCCGGGGCTATCAGATGGATCTTCGTGGTCGTCACAACGGGAAGCCTGTTGAAACCACATCAGACCATTAAGTCGGCAGACCAGTCGTGATGGATCGGCGGGGCTTCGTGTCGACACTAGGAGGTCCCGTCCGGTTGACAGAGAGGTAGATAGCCGGGAGATGGGCCTGGCTCGAGGCTAGCTCAAGGCTAACTGGTGCATCGGGACAGTGGTGAATTAGCCAACATCAGCCATTCGGTTGCAGCTAGCTAGTTGCGATGATCCGGTGTTAAGTTCCAGTGATTCAGTGATTCTGGCACAAAATCCGATATGCTCTGGGTCGATAGCACGCTGTGCAGACCGATAATTGTCCAGGCTAGAGCTGGCTGGTAGGTAGTGCAGGCCACGGACAGTGGTGAAGACCGCTAACGGTGGCTAATAGCAAGTAGCTAGTTAGCTGGCTAGCTGGCTAGTTTCAGCTGTAGGTTCCACATTGGGTTAGGCGGGTTGCAGGAAAGTATATTTGGTTAAAGGATGGGAAGTGAGATAGATAAATATATACGAGAAAAAAATATATAACAGCCGCAACACGAGGACACAACACAATTCACGACCACACTGCTATGCCATCTTGTAATCTATACCAGTTCCACTGCATTTTTTATTGTTCTCCTCTAATCAGGGACTGATTTAGACCTGGGACACCAGGTGTGTGCAATTCATTATCAGGTAGAACAGAAAACCAGCAGGCTCTGGACCTCGTTGGCCTAGTGTCTGCTGGTTTTTATTTTTTCCTTTGAATTAAGACCTAGACAACCAGGGGAGGGGAGGGGAGTCCCTTACTAATCAGTGATCTTAATGAATCAATCAAGTACAAGGGAGGAGCGAAAACCTGCAGGTACTTGGCCTTCCATGGAATGAGTTTGACACATGCTCTAAGGCCTCTACCTGAGATCCTCAATATGACTACACATGTCCCAGCATCTTGTTTTGATTGACATTTTGGACATAAGTATATCATCAGTTCAAGCAAGCAGGCCTATTTCACATGAGCCTACACACAAGCCCCTTCAGGCCTCACCGATGATCGCTAAATAACTGGTACTGAATTTGCAAGCATGTAGTTTGAAGCCATGTGAATCGTAGACCAAACTGGCCAGCCTAGTGCCACAGAGTGAGATGGCTATACAGTGCATTCGAAAAGTATGCAGACCCCTTGACTTTTTCCACATTTTGTTACGTTACAGCCTTATTCTAAAATTGATTAAATATTTTTTTACGTCATCAATCGACACACAATACCCCATAATGTTAAAGCAAAAACAGGTTTTTAGAAATGTTAGCAAATTTATAAAAAATAAAAAATGAAAATATAACATTTACATAAGTATCCAGACCCTTTACTCAGTACTTTGTTGAAGCACCTTTGGCAGCTATTACAGCTTTGAGTCTTCTTGGGTATGATACTACAAGCTTGGCACACCTGTATTTGGGAAGTTTCTCCCATTCTTCTCTGAAGATCCTCTCAAGCTCTGTCAGGTTAGATGGTGAGCGTCGCTGCACAGCTATTTTCAGGTCTCTCCAGAGATGTTCGATTGGGTTCAAGTCCAGGCTCTGGCTGGGCCACTCAAGGACATTCAGAGACTTGTCCCGAAGCCACTCCTGCGTTGTCTTGGCTGTGTGCTTAGGGTCATTGTCCTGTTGGAAGGTGAACCTTCGCCCCAGTCTGAGGTCCTGAGCGCTCTGGAACAGGTTTTCATCAAGGATCTCTCTGTACTTTGCTCCGTTAATCTTTCCGGCGATCCTGACTAGTCTCCCAGTCCCTGCCGCTGAAAAACATCCTCACAGCATGATGCTGCCACCACCATGCATCACCGTAGGGATGGTGCCAGGTTTCCTCCAGACGTGACGCTTGGCATTCAGACCAAAGAGTTCAATCTTGGTTTCATCAGACCAGAGAATCTTGTTTCTCATGGTCTGAGAGTCCTTTAGGTGCCTTTTGGCAAACTCCAAGCGGGCTGTCATGTGCCTTTTACTGATGAGTGGCTTCTGTCTGGCCACTCTACCATAAAGGCCTGATTGGGGGAGTGCTGCAGAGATGGTTGTCCTTCTGGAAGGTTCTCCCATCTCCACAGAGGAATTCTGGAGCTCTGTCAGAGTGACCATTGGGTCTTGGTCACCTCCCCCGAACGCTCAGTTTGGCCGGGCGGCCAGCTCTAGGAAGAGTCTTGGTGGTTCCAAACTTCTTCCATTTAAGAATGATGGAGGCCACTGTGTTCTTGGGGACCTTCAATGCTGCAGAAATGTTATGGTAACCTTCCCAGATTTGTGCCTCGACACAATCCTGTCTCGGACCTCTACGGGCAATTCCTTCAACCTCATGGCTTTGTTTTTGCTATGACATGCACTGTCAACTGTGGAACCTTATATAGACAGGTGTGTGCCTTTCCAAATCATGTCCTATCAATTTAATTTATCACAGTTGGACTCCAATCAAGTTGTAGAAACATCTCAAGGATGATCAATGGAAACAGGATGCACCTGAGCTCACTTTTGAGTCTCATAGCAAAGTGTCTGAATACATATGTAAATAAGGTATTTTTTTAAATGTATTTTTTATATATTTGCAAAAACATTCTAAAAACCTTTGTCATTATGGGATATTGTATGTAGATTGATGAGGGAAAAGTTTTATTGAATCAATTTTAGAATAAGGCTGCAACGTAACAAAATGTGGAAAAAGTCAAGGGGTCTGAATTCTTTCCGAATGCACTGTATAAAGCTTTTCTCTCTGTATAGAACACCTATCAGAAATCAAGTTGTTGTCAGTGCCCGGGACCACTTATGATTAACAGAGGAAGCATGAGCACAGACTTGGGTCTGCCATAAATGTCCAGTTCACTGCACCTAATGGGCCCGGCTGGTTAAAAAATACATTTTTAACCCAAATTTGTCATTCCAGTTCATGTGATTATCTGGTTGTCCCAGACGGGGAGTTTTATGGTCCATGTTAGCGATTAACTCTAGACAAGAGCCATGTCACTTTATCATATCAGTCAGCCAACCATTCATTCTCATGAACGTCTCATTAACCTCCACCGCTAAACCATTTATCTTAGCAGCCATCAGGGACATCATTACACAAGTGCAGCGCTACAGATTGTGTGTCAAACGCATTCTCTACTTATACAAAGTCAATATTGCCACTTTTTAAACTTTTCACGTTTGGATTCACATCATGGGTTCTGGAATGCTGTTGGTATTTTTGTTGCTAGTTCCAGCAAGGGAGACTATTGTATGACTGTTTAATATTTCCGGGTCCTCTACAGTTTTTTTAGGATGCTTTGTCACCTGCCATTCAGATTAAATGTTTATGTACAGTCTCAGTTTGCACCTTGGAAGCCTCGTGACGCAAACTGTGTTGTCGCTGGTGATGGGAACCACTCCAATCAGTACAGTGTTTCATTAACGCAGCATGGAGATTGTATGGGTCAATACCCCCGTAGACATGCACCTCAGACGCCGTCTGTTTGGGAGTGGTCCGCCTGTGTCAACATGGTAATTAGAAAACAACGGTCATCAGAGAAGAGGTAGTTATTATGAATCAGGAGGTGAAGAGAATCATTTAGGGGTCGATGGGAGCAGGAGGGTGTGTTCTGTGTTTCAACAGCCTAATGGTAACTCTCTGGTCATCAGGCCTGGCCTGGCACCTTTACAGGCAGGCCCCTCCCCCTCTCAGCTCACACATTTTCATTTTCAACTTGGTTGCTGCACTTAGGTCCCTCATTCACTATGGACAGAACGAAGTGACTTTTGATTTCCGGTACCTAATTAAAAAGACTAACTGATCCCAGGGCTTTGCTAGTTTATCTGTGTGTGTTTTAGTGAGAGGTTTCATGTGTGAAATGAAGCAGAAACCACATTTTCACATCTGTCTCATCTTTATCTACTCCTCTAATATCGGTTATTTACGGCATGTAAGTTGATGTGAAATCTGACTGTAGCAGCAGCCCAGTCGTCCTCCCATCGTGACCAACGCAGGTGAAGCCCTACTGAGAATCACATCTCAATCTTATGCAAATTGTCTGTTCAGCTAGTTTGAATGGCAAACAATTTGGACAGGGTAGAAATTCTATTAACATAACGTCTGTTAAAGTTAAAATAAACACAGAAGTAGTTTTTTCTAATCTCTACATTACGCACACAATTTGAAAGTTGACTGATGACTATACTGTAACTCTGTTGCAGGTGGTAAGACACGAACGAAAGACAAGTACCGGGTGGTGTACACAGATCACCAGCGGTTGGAGCTGGAGAAGGAGTTCCACTACAGCCGCTACATCACCATCAGGAGGAAAGCAGAGCTGGCCACCTCTCTCTGCCTCTCAGAACGACAGGTCAGACACAACACCATGGGGCAGGGAGTCTCTCTCTCTCTCTCTCTCTCTCTCTCTCTCTCTCTCTCTCTCTCTCTCTCTCTCTCTCTCTCTCTCTCCACCAGCCACAGAGCACTTATCTCCAATCTTTTGTTTATTCCACAGGTGAAAATCTGGTTTCAGAATCGGCGTGCCAAAGAAAGGAAAGTGAACAAGAAGAAGATTCAACAGCCTCAGGCAGCGTCCACAACAACATCTACTCCACCTGGCAATGTTGCCATGGTGACCAGCAGCAGTGGTTGCCTAGTGTCTCCGTCCCTACAAATGACTATCAAAGAAGAATACTGAGGACGACGGTCTGATGTAAAAAAAAGAAAAGACTTTGGGCCAAATCTGACCTGCAATAGAGACCCCAGTCAACAAGACAAATGCAGGGGTCAACACCTACAGAGAAGATATCTAAAAGACTGGCTGCTGTTTCCTGAGCTTTTGTTTTACAAAAAATGAAGGAACTTCTAAAGGACAAGACAGACCAAAACAAACATTGGCTGTGTACAGTAGATTACGTGCTGGGTTTCGACGAATAACATATTGAATCATCGGGAAATTAATAGAAAATAAAGGCCCGTGCTCTGTGGTCAGAGGCGATAGGACGGACACCTGCTGTGCACACGTTCATGTTGGTCTGTCTTGTCCTTAACAGAAAGAGAGACAAAGAACAGAAAAAGAGAAAAGCTATAAATACAGTGCATCGGAAAGTATTCAGACCCCTTGACTTTTAACCACATTCTGCTACGTTACAGCCTTATTTTTCATCAATCTACACAGAATAGCACATGATGACAAAGCAAAAACAGGTTTATATAAATTTTTGCAAATTTATAAAATATAAAAAACGGAAATATCACATTTACATAAGTAAAGGACATTCAAATACTTGTCATGAAGCCACTCCTGCGTTGTCATGGCTGTGTGCTTAGGGTTGATCCTGACTAGTCTCCCAGTCCCTGCTGCTGAAAAACAAGCCCACAGCATGATACTGCCACCACCATGCTTCACTGTAGGGATGGTGCCAGGTTTCCTTCAGACGTGATGCTTGGCTTTCAGGCCAAAGAGTTCAATCTTGGTTTCATCAGACCAGAGAATCTTGTTTCTCATGGTCTGAGAGTCCTTTAGGTGCCTTTTGTCAAACTCCAAGCTGGCTGTCATGTGCCTTTTACTGAGGAGTGGCTTCCGCCTGGCCACTCTACCATAAAGGCCTGATTGGGGGAGTGCTGCAGAGATGGTTGTCCTTCTGGAAGGCAGAGATAGTTGTCCTTCTGGAAGGTTCTTCCATCTCCACAGAGGAACTCTGGAGCTCTGTCAGAGTGACCATCCGATTCCTGGTCACCTCCCTGACCAAGGCCCTTCTCCCCCGATTGCTCAGTTTGGCCAGGCGGCCAGCTGGTGGTTCCAAAGTTCTTCCATTTAAGAATGATGGAAGCCACTGTGTTCTTGGGGACCTTCAATGCTGCAGAAATTTTTTGGTACCCTTCCCCAGATCTGTGCTTCGACACAATCCTGTCTCGGAGCGCTACGGACAATTCCTTCGACCTCATGGCTTGGTTTTTGCTCTGACATGCACTGTCAACTGTGGGACCTTATATAGACAGGTGTGTGCCTTTCCAAATCATGTCCAATCATGAATTTACCACAGGTGGACTCTAATGAAGTTGTAGAAACATCTCAAGGATGATCAATGGAAACAGGATGCACCTGAACTTTTTTTGCTTTGACATTATGGGTTATTATATGCAGATTGATGAGGAAAACATTTTATTTAATCATTTTTAGAATATGTCTGTAACGTAACAAAATGTGGAAAAAGTCAAGGGGTCTGAATACTTTCTGAATGCACTGAATATATAAATATTAAACTGTAGTCTTTTACTGTTATCATGGCTTCTACTGTTTCTTCTGCTCTGCTCATCACGTACTGGAAATACCTGTAAATGGTTCTGATTCCACGCAATAATAATAATACCTGTATATTTTCAAAGTAATTTGTATTAAAAGCTTTATTGTAAACTCTTGAGCTCATTCTTTATAGTAGGGAAATGGAGGATATTTGGAGCACATCTTTAAAGAAATCTATAATCCTAAAAACGTTTACAACATGACTATCTGTCGTAGACATCATTTTAAAAGCATCTACAATGTGAAATCATACTTTAATGTTTTACAAGGCTAAGTAAGTTTGACCATAAGCTAACTCCACACTTCATATGCTTTTTAAAGGCACTAAAGTGACAACTGTGAACACATGGGAATAGCTGGGATAAACATGATTGAAGAAATATGATTTCAGATGACACTTCATCTCGGAATCAAAATAATTTGAGAAAGTTAAAGGAAACAATGTAAGTAATCATTGTGTTTGGTCTTTATAGATTTACAATGTATTATTTTGTATCATCATGGTGTGGGGCTTTGAAAATCAGCAGGTTAGAGGCGAGGCATCATGTAATTAAAAAGTGGTGCAGTGGTTGATAGTGACAATGAGACAGACAGGGCCAGGGACAATGAGACAGACAGGGCCAGGGACAACAAGACAGACAGGGCCAGGGACAATGAGACAGACAGGGCCAGGGACAATGAGACAGACAGGGCCAGGGACAATGAGACAGACAGGGCCAGGGACAATGAGACAGACAGGGCCAGGGACAATGAGACAGACAGGGCCAGGGACAATGAGACAGACAGGGCCAGGGACAATGAGACAGACAAGGCCAGGGACAATGAGACAGACAGGGCCAGGGACAATGAGACAGACAAGGCCAGGGACAATGAGACAGACAGGGCCAGGGACAATGAGACAGACAGGGCCAGAGACAACAAGACAGACAGGGCCAGAGACAACAAGACAGACAGGGCCAGAGACAACTCACCTAGGAGCCATGATTGTTTGCACAGTAAAAGTGAGTGGCTGGATAAGGAGTGGCTTCAGGAGAATAGAGTAGTTTCAATATCATGTCCACCATTCTACCTGTTGTAACAGCCCTGTGACACCATGTCCACCATTCTACCTGTTATAACAGCCCTGTGACACCATGTCCACCATTCTACCTGTTATAACAGCCCTGTGACACCATGTCCACCATTCTACCTGTTATAACAGCCATGTGACACCATGTCCACCATTCTACCTGTTATAACAGCCCTGTGACACCATGTCCACCATTCTACCTGTTAAAACAGCCCTGTGACACCATGTCCACCCTTCTACCTGTTATAACAGCCCAGTGACACCATGTCCACCATTCTACCTGTTATAACAGCCCAGTGACACCATGTCCACCATTCTACATGTTATAACAGCCCTGTGACACCATGTCCACCATTCTACCTGTTATAACAGCCCAGTGACACCATGTCCACCATTCTACCTGTTAAAACAGCCCAGTGACACCATGTCCACCATTCTACCTGTTATAATAGCCATGTGACACCATGTCCACCATTCTACCTGTTATAACAGCCCTGTGACACCATGTCCACCCTTCTACCTGTTAAAACAGCCCAATGACACCATGTCCACCCTTCTACCTGTTATAACAGCCCTGTGACACCATGTCCACCCTTCTACCTGTTATAACAGCCCTGTGACACCATGTCCACCCTTCTACCTGTTATAACAGCCCCGTGACACCATGTCCACCCTTCTACCTGTTATAACAGCCCTGTGACACCATGTCCACCCTTCTACCTGTTATAACAGCCCTGTGACACCATGTCCACCCTTCTACCTGTTATAACAGCCATGTGACATCATGTCCACCTCTCTACCTGTTATCACAGCCCCGTGACATCATGTCCACCCCTCTACCCATTATAACGGCCCTGTGACATCATGTCCACCTCTCTGTCTGTTTTAATAGCCCCGTGACATCATGTCCACCTCTCTACCTGTTATCACGGCCCCGTGACATCATGTCCACCCCTCTACCCGTTATAACGGCCCCGTGACATCATGTCCACCTCTCTACTCGTTATCACGGCCCCGTGACATCATGTCCACCTCTCTACCTGTTATCACGGCCCGTGACATCATGTCCACCTCTCTACTCGTTATCACGGCCCCGTGACATCATGTCCACCTCTCTACCTGTTATCACGGCCCGTGACATCATGTCCACCTCTCTACCTGTTATCACGGCCCGTGACATCATGTCCACCTCTCTACCTGTTATCATGGCCCCGTGACATCATGTCCACCTCTCTACCCGTTATCACGGCCCCGTGACATCATGTCCACCTCTCTACCTGTTATCATGGCCCCGTGACATCATGTCCACCTCTCTACCCGTTATCACGGCCCGTGACATCATGTCCACCTCTCTACCTGTTATCACGGCCCGTGACATCATGTCCACCTCTCTACCTGTTATCACGGCCCCGTGACATCATGCCCACCCCTCTACCCGTTATAACGGCCCTGTGACATCATGTCCACCTCTCTACCCGTTATCACGGCCCCGTGACATCATGTCCACCTCTCTACCCGTTATCACGGCCCACGGAGCAAAGGCACACAGAGGATGTCTATGGTATCTACCCTGCTTCATCACACACAGCACATACCTATTTGCCAATCTCGTAACCAAAGACAGGGCGTGGCGTCCAAAGGGCAAGGTGAGAGAGGTGGTGAGTAAACAGAGCAGGAGGATACATCTACTGGGGAACATCTCCTGACCCCAGGCCAGGGAGGAGCACAGCCATGGGGTGAGATTCTGACCCCGGGAGGAGCATGGTGGGTGGTGAGATTCTGACCCCAGGGAGGGGAACAGTGGGTGGTGATATTATACGTTGTACAGGTAGAGCCAATACTGTCCCATTTAGAGTCATAGATTAGCAGACAATGTTAGAAACTCTCTTTACTGTGTCCTTAAACACACTAAAGTATGCTTTAGTTCCGCCTCACAGATAAGAAATGCCTATTTGAATGATGAGTACCTAACCAGAGTGTAGTTTGTATGTCTGACAGAGGGCGGTGTTCACTGTTTTAATGTGGTATATCTAACACACTCTATGAGATAAATCTTCCTTATACATATTTTTGCAACCATACAAATGTATCAAGAATCTGAGTCAGCTACCTCCTCTCACTGAGGCAAGGAGCACATTTAAATATCAATCATTTGTTATTCGTCTCTACCCAGACTTGACAACCCAATGTGGAGTGACACTTGGTTAGGACAAAGCATTTCCTGTTGTGAGTCAGGTCTTATTTGGATGCATGGAAATTGTAAATGACAATGGCTGTGACCTTTGACCCTCAGTTACATTTTGCTTCAAACACCAAGGGTGGTATCAGTAAGATAATATGTGCTGACATGGTTCTGTACTGTCTTTGATATCAGTGCCCTCCTGAACACCAGGAAGTACCTCCAAAAAGAGTCATC